GGGGGGGGGGGGGTTGGGATGGGTTTTGTTGTTTGGGTTCCTTTCTTTGCCTCAAGGGAAAGAAAACAACACATATTGGGGAGGGAAAACATTTCACAAATAGAATAAATACCTGTTCTGATCCAAAAGCAAAGTGCGATGTAGAGTTCTTTATTTAAAGAAAACCAACCTACAGAATAATGCCTTAAATATTAACAAATCAATTAGTGGTTAGCACAGTAAAATAAATATGAACACATTGATTTATATTTTGTTTCTAGCAGCAAATGTCATTAACCTACTGGCCAATGTGACAGCTTCACAGAAGTCCTGTTTCTTGGGTTTGGTACTTTTTTTAACATGAGAGAAAGGTTCACTGGGTCTGGAAAATGGTACTACAGCTGTACTGTATTCTCCCCAGCCCATCTATGTCAAATAGCATTTGGTCAGGACGTTTTCAGTATGTGTTTTGAACACTGATTTGGAGAACAGCTTTCACAAAAAAAATAAGATCAGAATCCACACAGTTTCTCATGCTGACAGGTATGAGTTTGGATTGGCCTGAACCCCAACGACATTAGCGAGGTGGAGTGTTTTCTCTTTGCAGTCAATGATTTTCTATGCTGGAGGGAGAGTGGGAAAAATCACAAACCGTTAAGCAACACTGAAGAGAGAGAGGAAAGCTTTGGTCACTTGTAGGGAAGGGCCACAACAGGGCACTGGGGCAAAGCAAGTCTCAGCTGCTTCTCCCAGCAAGAAATATCTTTCCTCCCCTGTAGGAAACCTGTCCTACTCTTGTCACTTGTGTCCCACCGTGGTTTATATCTGCAACCCACCACTTTGAAGTTCTCAGGGTGATAACATCCACTTGTACTCCCCTGAACGAAACAGAGCAGATACAGGCCTCCCTGTTCAGGACAGACTCAAGCCATTCCTCAAAACCAGACTGAGCCCCCTGCAGAGAGGAAACCACAGGAACAGCCCCCGGCACCTCCCTCCCAAACACACCAGCACACTGATGTGCTGCGACACACTTGCACCAGCTGTTACCAGGAGGCAACAGCACATGGAGCAAACTGAGTTTTGACACCTTCAGCAGTCACTGGAAACGCCAAATGAGGAGCAGATCGCTGGGCTGGGAGCAGGAGCAACAACCAAAGCAAAGTGGTGAACAGTTGATTTTTGGGACACATGAAAGCAGACAAAAATGCCTTCTTGGCCCCAGCAATAAGCTAGAAAACACCAGTAGCTACACAGCTCCTCCAGCTCATATTTCACAATGTGTTTTTTTCCGCTACTAATTGCAGCCTGTGGGAAATGCCACACTTTAATTTACAGCAAGAGAGACGTTTAACCATAATGCAGGGACCATTCTGGCAAAGCACATTGTGGTAAGGCTCATCCAACTTCCTCTGTCCCTGCACTGTGGTGTCAGACTAGCAAAACAAAAGACAAAACACAAAGAGAAAACCAGAGCCCTTCTTTGACTGCAAAAGATAAGGGGAAAAGGCTGCCAAGAGAGTTTTGCAAGGGGAATATTCTTCAAGGATGCACACAGGGTAAGCCAGGGGCAGGAAAACACAGAAGAAACAAACTTACAGGCTGTCAAAACTGCTCGGTTAGTGCTTTGCAACCTGGGCACCTGTCCTCCTACCCTCTAACCTGCTCCAGTGCACAAACCCTGTTTAAGTGGGCTTTGCACGAAGGAGGGAAGGGAATACCATTCAAGAGGATATCCATTGCTCTGTCTGTATCTACAGGGCAAGGATCAGCATGGAATGATGTGGAGAGTTGCTTTCAAATACTGTGAAAGAGCACACCTTGCCTGGATTTAGGAAGGTTGGTTGCATTAAAGTTATATAGCTACCTGATGCTCAGGTAGCTAAAGATAACAATACTCAATTTCTGAGAAGCAGCCAAGTGCAACAAACTTTTCTGAGGTGGACTAGAAAGTTCAATAAAAACCATCTGGATTTTTTGTTAAGTTTACTCATTTTTCAATTTTTAAGGCAAGCAGAAAGTCCTTCTGGAATGCAAGAGGCAGTATCAGAATGGCAAAAAAAGGAGGTGAGGGAGCTATCTTCAACATTATGCACTAGATAAAATTTACCCCTGGTAAAATGCTACTGAAACCAATAGAGCTGCACCTAATTCAACATACTGTCTAAAAAGGAGAGACAAGACATCATGCTTCCTTTACCCCCTTTCTGCACCTGCCACTGAAGTCAATGAAGCTATACCAACGTACAGCTGTAGCAGCACAGTGGTGAATCAGGCCCGACGGAGGCTACACGTGTTTCAGAAGCACTGTGAACTGTATTCTAATCTCCTCAAACCTACCCACATACACAGAAAAATAAATATGTCAGCCCTACTTCTGCTCTTTAGCCCCTTTCTACTTTTGCTAAGGAAAACCAAAACAGACACACACCCTTTGGGTTTGTCTACACTTACAAAGTTGCTTAACAAGTTTCACAAATACTTCTGCATGGCCAAAAAGCTGTTACTCAGTCATCGCTGCTGACATTTACATTCTACCTAACTGGATTTTTAGTGGTCCCTAAAACAGTAAAGTTCACATCAAGAAATGGAATTAAAACCCATCCTGAGATGGGAAAAGAAAGAGGGGAAAAACACTCATCCAATATTGGTAGCTCTAGTCCAAAGGAGCATTTCAGCTCTCCTCTGTAACACCCACTGGGCTTTGTCCAGGGAATGGCATGGAAGTGGGACACACCACTATCAGCTCCCCAAGGTCCAGGCAGCCCTGATCTCTCAGATCAACAGAGCTGCAGGCCAGAGACCAACACTTGCTCTCTTCTACATCAGTATACAAAGAAATTACAGCTTACAGCTCCTTCCAACCTATTCTCAGCCCTACTCAGTCTAAGGCAGAATCAGAGCAGAGCACAAGCCATCTGAGCAGGTCTGCTTTCCAACGCACTTCATTAAGCCCCGCAGACTCTCTTCAGGGAGATGAGCTACACTCATGGTGCATTAAGGTGCCCCGCCAACAACACTGAGAATCTTTTTTCATTGTTAGCTGGTAGAAGAGAATATTTCTGACTACACAAGACCCTCCAAGAAGGAGATGTATGCACAGCCATTCTCCAAGGATGTGGAAAGAACCTACTCTGGGCCACAGGCAGCAATTTGTGGACAAGCACACCACCTAATTCACACATTTGCAGGCCTCATTCCTGCCCTGCTTCTACAAGCTGCCCAGGGATTCAGTCTGCTGTAGGAAGGCATTCTGGAGCACTGCTCTGTGGCGTGCAAAGAGGGGAGTGGGCTTTGCACATGGTCCACCTGTGTGGTAGAACCACAGAAGTTCCCAGCACTTCTTGGGATTTGCATATTCATGCAGAAGGCTGAGGAGAAGACAGTCTTCCCCACCACTCAATACAATGAAGAGCCTTAGATAATTAGCAAACAAACATCAAAAACACTTCATGTCCTGCACAGCATCATCCTGCCAACTATGATAGAAAAAAAATGTAACCATACCATTAAGTTTGCAGGTGTTACATGTATAGCTCGAGAGCATACTCCTATCAAATGGAGCACAAAGCAGGGCATGTGGCAAACAGCAGGCGAGAGACAAGCTGCTCTATTTGCAAACTACTACCAAGGGTGGCGCGTCATTGTACATAGCCTAGGTTCTCCATCTCATTCCTATATCGCTGTTCGGACACCTTGCTTTTATGCTGTTTGCTTTCTAAGTGCTGTCTGAACTCCATCTCCTCGCTGGCCCCGGCGTTGCACATGGAGCAGTAGAACTGGCCACTGGGGGTGACGCACATGGCCAGATCCCGAGGAATCCTCTGGCGTGAGCGGGGATTGAAGTAGGGACCTGAGGAGCCAACAGAAAAGCCTGTTTTATCTGTAAGAAAGAAAAGCTTAAGGCAGCTCAGTGACAACTTCTAATTCTGATGAACGATTAAAAAGCAGCCAAAGATTAACTGATTAGAGTCTGAACCATATTTTCCCACCTGACTTCTCTGCTAACATTCAGATTTACAGGGCTGTAGCACACAGGGGAGCAGTACTTGTTGGTATTCTCTAAAACAATAGAGTGGGCTTAGTGCCCCAGTCTTAGTAAAAGTCAACAGGGCTTCAAAAATTAGGATTCTAGCCATTTAAAGTGATGAATCAATTCTTTTTTTGTCTTAACTTTCCAATTCCAGAATTAGAACAGTCTTTCGATTAGAATAAGCTGCCTCAGTTTAAAATTATCACAAAATTATATTTAATAGAATTTTAAAAGATCTATCTTTTCCACATGACAGTGGTTAGAATGACACAATTAAAGCAAGCTTCACCAGGAATCAGGGTTTCAGCTAATATATGCTCATAACACAACTTAAAATGAAAAAGAGAAACACATGTTGGGCTGGACACTATAAAATGCATTTTAAATCATAGTGAAGATAGGAAGTTAGTATCTAACACCTGAGGAAGGACTCTAGGAACAGATGGTCTTAGAGGGAGGCTAACATCCTCTCTCATTCTGGTCATGGGAGTGCAAGTACAGGTTGATGTGCTACAGTAGGAGTCAAAGCACCTGGCCACTTGCCAAGAAAATAAAGCAGGAATACTGTCACCACTTAAAGCAGCCTTAGAGACAGACAGATGGTAAATTAAGTTACAAACTGAGAAACCGAACTAACAAGCAGGCTGACAAAACAAAGCAACTTTAGCAGCTGGGAAAAAACATGCAGACATAAAGGATCAGCAGAGCTAGGACCAGCTTCGTTCACAATCTGTCTCTGCTAAAACAGACCTCAAACAAAAGAAAACCAAGTCTGTTTATTATTATTATTAATTACAACTACAGAACAGATGCAAGCTCCCAGTTACCTGTGTTGTTTTGAACTGTATACATATTTCTTCTGTTCTGCATCATCTTATATTCATTCCCTTCTTTCCTTGTCCTTCGTTTGCCTAGTTCTGATGCATCCCTGAAGATTAAACAAATATGAACAGCTGCAATTCATAGTTTTCCGAGAAAAAGGCTGCCAGAGACACTGCCACATGCTTTCAGCCTGAGCATGAAGTTGAACAATACCTACGAGAATGAGTTATTCTGTGCTTCTGCAAGACGCAGCCGTTTGGCATGATTTTTCCCTTGGTAGTGAGCCTGTGCCACAGCTGGAGAACTAAACGAGGCATCACAAAGCTTGCAGTAATCATTCTCAGTGGCCAAGATCACTCGGCCACCTGGTTTACTGGATCCCATCTAGCAACAAAGGGAGAGACAGCATGTGAAACAGAAGGAAGTTAAATCGTTGAAATATTTGAATCACAGGGAGTGAGACCAGCATCACTTTCAACAGGCAACAAGAGAGCTGGAATTAGCGCATATGGATTAAGACATTCTCAAGTGCTCCCCAAACTGTTGTTACAAGAACTTTATTTTCCCTGCCTCAGCCTCCAAGAGAATCTGCAAATTCTTCAAGATCTAGGCAACCCTCGGCCTCAGAATGGAGAGGAAAGCAATCTGAACAAACACTCTGTACCACTGCAATAGCTACAGAGGCTTGTTTACTTCACAGCAATGATTTAACTTCTCTACTCCTGACTGCTGGGAGCTGATGAACAGTGACTTTCACACTGAGGAAGACCCACTGAAAGCCAAAGGTGCTCCCCTCTCCTATTTATAGAGCACCTAATCTCTCCACAGTACCCTGTTTCTACACAGCTCCCTGACCATGCTAAGAGATAAAAAAACAGTAGCAGAGCTGCCAAACCTCTGATCCTTGCCCTTCAGGTAGAAGGACACCTGGATCAAGACTTCAAAGGAAGGACCCAGCCTCACATGAGTAGCTCCCGCCACATGAAGGATACCTTGCCTGTTTAGTCAGACCACACACTGGTCAGGGCACCAACCATGTCTCCTCACTGTGTATTATCCAGAGAAAAGTGCTTTGTAAACAGTGCAGCAGCAATGATTCATACAGCCATGTCACTGCGGCACTTGTCGAGTCGAGTTTCTTTCACATCTCCTTTGATACTGCTCAAGCTTATAAATACACACATACAATTCTGACTTCTATGTTACAACATGAATCTTCACATTGGCCCAGAGTGGTCTTTTTATTAACATGGATCATTTTTTACATTAAAAAAAAACCTGCAACAGATACCCTCGCAGGCACAGCACCCACATTCCACTACCTAGCACCAGACTCTATGCCCTCTCGATTCAGTTCTGTCAGCCACAAAGTTATTTTAGACGGGACTGAGTCTCCCTCTGCCGGCTCCGACAGCAGGTATGACAGTTTGCCACTAACAGCAAAGAGCATTTGCTGTTCTATAGACAACAGAGGCTTAGGCTTTTTGGAAATGACAGGCACAGCTTCGATCCCTGCAGCCCAGCTGTGGCTCCATGCACAGTCACATGCAAAAGCCAGGCTAGCTGTTAAGTCCCATGACAATCAGAAGTGATGAATTCTAGAAGAAGAAAGCAAAAAACATCTCTTTTGCCTCTAATGTGCCTGAGACAGAATTAATCTGGATCACTGAGGGAACAATCCATCCATCCTACACACAGGAATGAGCACTTCAAAAGGAGCAACAAAAGAGGAATTAGCCAACAGCCCTGGGCAATGGGTGTAGGAGCACCTAAGCACTTTTTCCATGTAGGCTTCCCTCACACAATGGAGGGATGATTGTGCAGAGCAGATGCCACACCCTCGCATCCAAATCCAGCTCCAACAATGCTGTTTTATACCTGCCCTTAAACAACCATAATCAGCAGCACATCGGACTTACCTAGGAATCAAAGTATTTGCCATGCAGAAATAGAACATTTCAAGTCCAATATTCTGCTGCAAGGGCAGATCAGTATCTGCGCCTTCAAAGGAAAGCAAACAGCTCCCAACAGGCCATTTCCACCATCCTGTGCCATCACAAGGAAAGTTCTTTCCCAACTCCTGCAGTAATCCTCAAAATGTGAGATCTAGTTATCCTTATTGGGGGTTAGGTGACAAGTAAACGGCATGATCTCAGTCACCTTCCCATGCCTTACCTGAGCTGGAAGGGAGACAACCTGAGGTGGGGCAGGCTCAACCGAATTACTCATTCTGGCAGGTGCTGGACAGCTATTGGCAGCATAGTAATTTCGGAGTTTCTTACTGTGGTTTTTACCCTGGAAAGAGAACCCAAATTAATCGCTGTCCTAATCTTATACTGAAAGAACAAGGATCCAGCAACAGAAATGAGAAAGGGGCTGTGAAGACAGCACCTCAAGCAGAGGAGCTGTCACTCAGAAAATAACAGCTCTGGACTTGACTGATGCTGACATCCCCCCTTCTCTAAAATGCTCATCACCTAGCATGACTGGCCCTCATTTTCAATTGACCTTCTCAAATCAGTAAGTTTACAATTAGTTCCTCAATCTGTTTCCATTTCACTTAAAACTAGTATTTTGTACTTTAAACACAAAACTTTTACTGCTTTGCATAGCTTTTTGATAAGCCTGAACACACAAACACACACACTTCTTTTCATGAGGTTGCAAGCATGAGTTAAAACATTACTCTGAATCTAAAAAAACCCTGCTTCATATTTTATTTTCTCTTGGAAAACATACTATAGTTCTTTTTGGTGTTTTGAAAAGCTGAAAGAGCTAGGTAAGAGTATGTACATGCATTGTGGATATATAGCAATATGCATAAATGCAAGCTATGTATTATAAATGCACTTCTGTTCCCTCATGGCAGAAATACTGCAGAAATCAGATGCTGAAGTGTAACACTAATTCAATCTTCCCCTTCACTGCCATGATACCACTTTTTCAGGGCCAACAGCAAATCTGAGATCTGGGCCTGGTGTCCTGCGGATATGGACACTCTTCTGGATTTGCTGGTGGCAAAAGTTACTATCTCCACTTCTCGCACAAATATAACACTAGGAAGATAGGGTACTAGTAAAACAGGGAAACATGACTACGACATACTTGATCTCTCAGCTAAGAATCATATGCAAATAGTCCTCAACCTATTTTAGACAAGTCAGCCAGACCAGCCTGAACAAAATTAATTTGGTCTGAGTTGGCCCAGCTGATGCAGTCCAAAGCAGATGGCAAGTTTGCATAAAATGGCCCTACCAGCAGATGAAGAAGGAGGCAGCAGTGAACATCACAGCAGCTCCCTTTCCTACGTGCACTGTTGGATTCAGCAGAAAACATCTGTCCAGACCTTACAAAATCACATCTGTGGAATGGGAAGTTCTATTTTATTGGATGAGTGTACAGGTGCAAAACTGATCACAAACCAAAGGAAAATTATGAGTATCTGCCTCTTCACCCATGTCATCTTGGTATTACTTCTCTGTCCCTGTGGACAAAGTTTTCACAACATGCCCCAGTGATGACACCTTAAATGAAAGCACTGCAGCATGTCTGGATGAACAGCAAATTCAAGCAGGGTGAAGATATGTCTACAGAGAAATTCTAGGCACAGCTTCCAGTCCATTAGATGGTGTAGAGGTAGCTTCAGATGAGCTAATTCAAATGCTGCTGCTGGGGTACAATGACCTCCACAAAACACTCAGAACTCCCTTGAGAAGCTAAGTTAGTCCTGGTGCATTGGCCCACACTTAGCTCTGTGCTCCCACGCTCCTGGCAGTGCAGGCGCTGGCACGGGTATGTCTACACAAGCTGCAGATGCAGCAGCCCTGAAAGCTGTGCCTCCTGCTACTCTCCTTACCTGGTAATGAGCCTGGGCTTGCTGTGCTGAATTCAGAGTGACATTGCAAAGCTTACAGCACAGAGGCTTACATAGTTCTTCCAGCATAGGGTCCTGCTCCACCACCTTTGCAAGCTCTTCTTCTTGTGTGTGATGAAAGGAAGGCCCCAGTCCGAGAGATTTTGGTGGGGACAGTGGTGAGCTGGCTCTTGGCCTTGTAGCCACTGACATAGGAAGAGATGAAGGCTTCTCAGAATGAGGAAGAAGTCCTGATTGCTGTAGAAGAATCATTGGCCAGGAAGACTGTGAGCATGCTACTTCTGAAGGATGAGGAGTCTTCAGATCTAGACCAGAGAGACACAAATGCTGAAATAAGCAGCACTAATAGCAACACCAACAATCCAGGGCACAACTTCTGTAAGTTCTTTGCCTCTACTTTATGCTTTTCACAACGCCAAGAAGGATGATGTCAGTTTATAACACTTTACCCCACAGGAACAGCAGCATCCCAGACAGCCAGGGCCAGATTAAAAGATACGAACACAAGAAGCAGACTGAAGTCTGAAGTGGAGTTGTTAGTATCCCATGGCACCCTCCTGGACAGGTGAGGATTCCTAACCACTCACAGTGCCTGACCCACAGCACGCCCGCCCCACTGCTCCACGACTCAGAACACGCACGGCACGTACAGCTGGTTAATGGGAATGGGAGGGGTACAACCATTAGCCCCATCCTCTTCTGACAGCCTAAGAACAAGCTTACACTCCAAGACCTAAACAAATATTACAAAGTATTACAGCTACTGATGACTTAAAAAGAACCCAAATACTTTTTATATATAGGTAGATATAAAATACCTACACACACGCACGAATTACATCCCGCAAATATTCATAAAGACCTTCCTGAGGAAAGGAACTTTCCTCAAGTAAATCAACAAAAAGCAAAGAGAACCAACGTGAGCACACCTTGTTATATGCAGTCAGCTCCCAAGGGTTCTCTTCCATGGTCTTGTTGAATGACCTTGAGCTATTTCTCATGTTTCCTTTACTAATTACAACCGATGCAACACTTAAAGCTGTATCTTCTTCTTCTGCAAAATGAAGAACTTATCCCATATTAACCTTTATTCAATTATTTCTCAGTTAATCAAAGTTTTTAGAACTAACCCTAGATTTCCAACATGGGGTTCCAGGAGGCTTATTTAATTAAAGTTTATAAATCACATCTAAAGCCCTGGATGAACATTCCTAGAATAATGCAGAGCCGTGATATTATAAATCAAGGCTACTTTTGTTAATTTCTTATTAGCTTCTTATCGTAACAAATCCTGTTCATTGCTACACTGGGATCGAGACAAGCAATATCTTGGCCTTTGCAGATCACTTCCAGCTAAGGCTGCATTGGTAGCAACCATGTTTATGCTATGGGCTTTGTTCGTTTGCATAAGCAAATAGTGAGACACATTGACATTTTAAAATAACACTTCTGGAAAATTAAGGAAAGGTAAATTAAACACCACGTAGGAACTTTGTTCCTAGGTCACTTTTGAAAACAGAATTTGACTCCAAAGGCATTTAGGAACCTGGAAAAGCAGACATCATTTATCCGAGATAACTTCTGAGATTTTTAACCTGCTAAAATTAGCAGGAGATAAATACCTTGCTACATTCAAGCTCTGGAAAATCCCAGTTGATGCCTGTATTATCTTTGAAAGTCTCACCCCCGAGAGGTCTATGTTCTATTAGGAAAAATAAAAAATAATTAAAAAGAAAAAAAAAAAGAAAAGTAAAATCAGTGAGACTAAAGCGCTTAAGTGACACAAGCATTTCTGGAATGTTTACCTCTAAAACCAGACTTCCAAATAATACAAGATTGGAGACAGCTCAGTTATTACTAGTAACTAAAGCTAAGGAAAAAAAGAAAAAAAAAAAAGCAGCATGCATTGCCTTGGGGGCAAGTTTTATAGTAAGAGAGCCACCAGGAGTTTTCATGTTTTTAAATTGCCCTCCACCACCAAGGCTCTGTGAAATTCCAGAAGAACTATATCTAATACAGTGTCACCGTAAAAACCAAATCAAAACCAGTATCGTGAAAACTGAAATGAGATAAAATGGAATCCACCACAAAGAAACATGACGAAACACAGGAACAGCATGGTACAAATCAACCATCAGCAGCGTAAATTCTGTAGTGTTACCTAACTTCTCTCTAACTTTCAGCATACATGTTCCTGGTTAAACAGAACTGTGGAAAAAGATTTTGCTATCTTTAGTTTCCTCAAGCAGTGCTCTGTAGACAGTCTAATTAATTTTCAGTGGGGTTACAGATGGAACAATTTTGTATCCATGATGGTTAAATGTATCATAACGCATACCCATCAAGGCAGTTTAGATCCACTATGCAGGCAGGTAAGTATGCCATCCAATTTCACCACCATGACAGGCCTTTTACTTTAAAATGGGAGTAAATTATAGCTAAATACTTCACAGAGCAATATAAAGAGATTTACAGTAAATGGCAGTCAGGATCTAACTGCTCAATTTTGCATGACTGTTTGTTGTACCAAGTCTTCCACACTCAACTGTCATGGATGGGATCTGTCATACACAAGACAGGACACGGTGCTCACAGGTTCTGCATTCACATGGGAAAATGTATAACGTAATATTTTTAGAAAATCTTTAATTGCAAGGTCTTTTACTGTTTCTTAAAGTAAACAGTAGTCTGAACATAAACTTAAGGCTGCACAGGCAATTCTAAAATTAGAACTTCAACCTGGCATATGCTCCCCTGATTTTCTTCTGATGGTGATCTTTCATCACTGAAATTGATCAAATTACACTGCTTTCTTTCTTACAGATATTATTTAAAAGAAAAAACAACAATCTCTCAATTTCAGCTTATTTACATGTCCCTTTAACCTCCCAGTGCTGGTTGCTACAAATACCCTGTCCAGGAGAAGGTAACAGGACATATTTGATGACTCCTTTCCCTCCACATGAGAAGCTGCAAAATCTTCACACTACAAACAGCAAAGGAATGAGGAATCTCTGTCACCAAGGACCTGTAACAGTACGGCCCATGGCAGGGTAAGGACCTGCATCTCTCTGGGCAAGCTGAGGAGACATTCTCCCTCAGGACAGCATCTCTCAAATCTCAGCCATGCCACCTCCTACATGCTGTATGGGCTAGGACATACTTCAACTCGGTGCCAGTTGTCCTCAGGTGGATGCAAGGGAGACGAGCACCAGCACTCCTCACTGCTCGCAGGTTGAGGCATCCCAAGGGCAGCACTGAAGGAGGAGACACAGCCTCCATGACTTGAGTACCACAGCCTGGTAGTACCCAGGCACTGCTGGTGGTACAGACAAGAAGCAGCAACCCCCCCCAGCTGTCAACAGCACAGTTCTGGGAAAGTAGCTGGTATGGCCTCAAATCTGAGCACTATTTGATGGGGAAGGCACATACACAGTGTGACCTTGCTTGGCTGTAAGTGCAAACCACAGTGAGAAATCTATGTGTCGCATGTTCCCACCAGAACTGTTTTTTAAATGCAGTTGAGGCAGCTAGTAACAGTGACAGAAATATATACAAACGATGAACAAGGTGTGGGCTTTGTTTTTATTTCCAAAACAGGAAGCATTTCTTCTCAAATCCACTTGTATCTCAAAACAGTGCCATCTCTTAACCTAACTTCGCCAGAAAGTTTACCTTTGTCCATAGACTAAGCCCCCCTGAACTCACCCTGAAAGGCAGGGTCATTTTATAACACTGCAGGGATTGAAGACAGCACACTAAAACATGCATCATACACAATTCCACCTTAAGATGCAGGGCCCACTAACCCTCTGCTGCTGCTACATATTTGGTAACCGAGAAACTGAGGGCATTTATTATCTCTTACATCAATGGGGCATCAGAAACCACGATGTCAGTCCTCACATCCTAGCAGACATTTCTACAAAGTTGCATGCCTTGCAGTCTTGGTGATGGAGTCTAAAAAAAAAAAACAAGCAAACAAAAAACAACTGGTATCTACTACGTTGGAATAAGTGCAACCTCGACAAGAATTCAAGGCGCTAATACAGTTTTGGATACGCAGAAATAAAACCAGCATAAAGGAGAGTCAGACACAGACACCCGCGAGGCTTAAGTAGCTTAAGCACCCCCGAACACGGCAAAAACATTACAAGCCCCCCCCAGTAATACCGAACCGAGGGGCATAGCCTGCCCCCACCCCCACCAAACACCTGTCTCT